TAAATATGAATTTATAATTAAGTACACACAAAATCTCCATTAGAATGAGATATTTTTGAATGATGACTATAAACAAATTCAGACAATTCTAACCTATTTAGGAGCAGTTCTTCATATGAACTCGTTACAACACATTTTGACCGTTCTTAAAAAAAATATCGATTGCTTACTTATGCACAAGTGTTATATTTGTTTTCATCACATGTTAATCAATGTTATATTTTGTATATAGTATATCATCTATTAGAAATACATTGGTACGTTACTTTTTATTATAATGATCAAAATACATTTTCTGATTAGCATATATAAAAATAATTGATATAAAAAAAAATTACACAACTAGATCTCTCAAATTCTCTCATTTTTACTCTTGTTATTACCATTCTCCTCCTCATCTTTTATTGTTAGTTTTTTACCAAATGGAGTAAAGCGAAAACTAATTCAACATGAACTTCTTTTACAATTTCATAGAAAATTATCAATCACCCATTAATCCAAATTTTTAAAATTTCTCACATTTACCATACTCATAAAATAACTTATTAAATATTGGTAATTTGTAATTTTCTACACTCTCATTTGCAACACTATTTTTATGTTTTAATCACCATCAACTATCACTATTATAGGTAATTATACCTTAAAAAAATAAATTATTAATAAAATATGACCTGCTTAAGAAAACAAGAAGGAACATACATATATATTATTTCATTTTTCACTAGTATAAAAAGAGCTTTATATGACGATAATTTCATGTTGGTGAAATCCAAATGTCATACAAAGTGATGCCGTGACAATATTATAAATATTGCAAAACTTTCTATGTTAGATGTTATTTCACTTAACATAAAAAATATTTTCTTAGTTGAGTGAGTCAACACCTATCATAGAATGTGTTGGAGATTATCAACTTTGTAGTTGATCCTAACCTTTCTTGTCACGTGTTGACTCAAACAACACCAGACATAGAAAATCTTTTTAATTGGGGCATAGAAAGCACAAACACTCATTCATACTTCATTGTTCTTCATCTTCTTCGATGCTCTCATGCTTTGTTGTTTCTCCTAACCTTTGTCACCACTCTCAAACTTGCTCTGTGATAGTTGTTATTGCTCTTGTGTTTCTACCATTATCCTCTATGTCAACCTTCCTTGTTCTGTTTTCGACGACCATCGTTCCAGGTATTTGGGTTTTCTTGCATTTTACTTTTCAACTTTTTTTCATTTATTGTTTCAAATTTAAATAAATATTAAATGGTTGCATCTAGTTGTGTTGTTATTTGAATTTTGGGTGGCTAACATGTTAACTTCCTATTATTTGGAGGTTTTGAAATTGTTCATATAAGGTATTAATTAATGAAATGTGTACTCAAATTTAAGGGTTGTTTTGGGATTTAATCGGGCATATTTAGGTGACTAATTTGACTTTGTGTTGGGGGTGGTTATGGGTCTTTTGTGAGTTCTATGATAATGCTTGATTTATGTCTATTATGGTGACTAGTTTGGGACTATATGAGGTCTATTGTGGGGTTTGTATGCTCTAATTTGGAAGCTTTGTCCAATTTAGAATTTTTAAGGATTGTTTTTAAGATTTAAGAAATTAGCTTTATTATAGTTGTTTTTCTTATTTAAAGCCTTTAAACTTCTTTTTTTACTTGATTAAGACAATTTTTTATTTGAATTAATTTGGGGCTTTCTCGCCATATTTTTTCTTATCCTATTGATCAAGATTTAGAGTTTAGAAAAAGTTTTTATTACAATTCAATTTATTCTCTCTTAAGGTCACTTAGTTAGACAAGGGGTAACCAAAGTCTATTTGAATGTTGTTATTGGTTCAACATGAGTAGGGTTGTTATAGAATGTTGTTATATTCAACATGTTTTTTCTTATTATATTTATGTTTGAATGTTACTTAATACATTATATAATGTTGTTTGATTGTTAATTTGGTAGATATTATATATTATATAGGACTGTATTGAACTGGACAATCCTATACTGTATTGAACTATTCTATTTTTTATGTACAAGTTTGGAAAGTTATTAATAAGTTGTTTCCCACTATTGAAACCCTCAAGGACAAGGTTGAAGACCATATAGACCCTCTTAATTGAATTCGCAAGTCAATACCTCCAAACGATATATGAATAATATGCATGGACTTTCAAATAACACATAAGTGCATAACACATTGTTAGACAATGACTAGACTTTAGCGTTACAAGATAGATGTTTACACTTCACAAATGACCAAGCATAAACTTGGAATTTTCCCTATTAAGCAACTAGTTAGACTTAACTCATAACACACGATAACTGATAGGCACAAATAACTCAGCACGAAAACTCAAGGCATATCTTGTTAATGTAACTTTTAGCTATCTCAATTGTCACTTGTATTATACTTCTTAAGCTCACACAGATTCTTCTATAACTTGTTTATTAAACCTTAATAGTGGTTCCCTCCATTTCCAAGATTAGAATGCTCATAATAAAAATGAAACACTTGGTTGTTCACATTATTTATACTCTAATCATATATAATACTTTCATGAATTACATGAGATATAAACATTATCTAATGTCATACTAATGCTATCAAATTGATATCTATCTCATTGCAAAGTTAAGAAAATTATATATAACTCTTATTTTGATCTCAAGTTTTGTTTTTATCAACTATTGTACCTAAAATTAAAAATATCATAACATTTTTACCTAATTTTGACAACTTGACATTTGTTCACTAATTTGATCATATATTGAATTCTAAGCATCCTTTTTGAATGATTTCAAATTCATTGGTTAGCTAACATCTAGGGCCACAATTTATTATGAAGACCACTAAGGAGCACCGTCGTGCTAAAGTATTTCCTAGAAGTGTGCTTCCATTGTGCTCAAGCAAGCCTACTCAATATGATATGGTTACCCCTAACACAACCATGTTACCCACTAAGCATGATAGCTATCAAAAATAGAGTCCCAAATCTTACGAACTCAACCTTTGAAGATAGAATTCCACTTCCAACTTCTCTCTATTTTCACATCAATTACTACTTTTATTATATTTTATCATATCAATAATGCATAACACATAATATTTGATTTATAGAACTCAGACACAAATGGAAATTATACAAAAACTCCAATTTGATCACATAAGAACCCTAAATATACATAACATGACATAAACTCAAATCTCACAAAAGAGTACGTAAATTCATTCATTACTCCATTAAACTCTTAAGTACTCAATTTATCTTTCTTAAGATCTAGACAGTTTTTCAAATGTTATTCTCTTTAACAATAGTGACACTTATTGGTCTTATTTTTTGTTGTATGACATTAGTAATGAGGGTTGTAACAAGGTCATGGTGGTAATATTGGTGTCAAATTGTCAAGGTTGTAATTATGTGCAAGGGATGTTATTTGTATTGTAGTGTTAGAAGCTTCGAGGTCGTAAGTTCATGGTTTTGTGAACTAGAATCATAGTTGTCAACTACAAACAAATAATGAAAATTAGAATTTGAGTTTATGATTATTGATAATTGGAATTAAAAGAAGGATTAATAATTGAATGAGAAAAAAAATACCAATAGTTGGAAAGATGGTAGTTGAATGGTGGGGTTGGGATTGGGAAGTTGAAGTATAATTAAGGAGTACAAAAGGAAGGTTTGGATTCGTCCTATGATGAAGGTGTCCTATGATGAAGGTGAGACGATCAAATTCTTACGAGATTAGAAACTTATGCAAATTTCTAAATGTTTTACAGTTGTTGTAAGAATTCTAAAGATATTATTGTGAAATTTCATGAAGTGTAATTATAGAGTAATAACAAAATATCATTGATTGTAATGGAAAAGTGTAAATGTAAAATATTTTTTCATACTTGCCAACTTACATATGGAAATGATAAGAAGCCTATATATAGGTTGAAGATGTATAACCTACAATGATGTAGAAAAAATTCTACACATTCTGTGCTTTTATACAAAGTCACTACTTCTCCTTCTCTTTTACTCAACTAATTTATTCAATTACCATTATATTTATATTTAACTACTTCCATCCCATTACTCACTACTACAAGATGCATATTTTACATCGGTTCACTAAAGGCGTCTACATCAGTTCTAAAATCGATGTAGAATAGAGCGACGTAAAAAATATATACATTTTACATCGGTTCTGAAGAAAACTGATGTAGATTTAAGAATAAATTTACATCGGTTCTCTGGAGAACCGATGTAAATTTATTCTTAAATCTACATCGATTTTCTTCAGAACCGATGTAGATTGCATTTTTTTTATAAAAAAATTATGCTTATTTTTGCACAAACAAAGCCACAAAAAATATATAGCTACAACAGACAAGCAAATTATTAAAGATATTATATAACAAACCATAATGATACACAGATTAATAACTATATTTTGAACACCCTGCTCTATCCATCTGTGTCTGCTACAGCTTAACCTTCAGTTACTAAGTCAACTGGGCATCACTGACGATGGAGCAGGTTATGGACTCATAACTTCTAGTCTAGCTCCTGTACTTGCATTTCTCCACGGCTCTTGGTGCTGGGGCACAATAAACAAGTTTAATTTCTTTTCAGATGTGTTTATTTCAATAATTAAAATTTGAACCTTTCTATAGAACATTCGTGTTAATTAATCAACTAACAATATATAAAAAATTACATATTCTTACTCTCATTGTGTAGGATCAACAAGATTAACCCAAATGTTTTCTTAAGGAGAATTATTAAAAGGAAAAAAAATGCAGAATAATGACAATATATAAATAATGACACTAATATTACATGATTGTGTCTCTATTTATAAAGGAATAATGACATATCATTCTCTTATAAATTAATCTTCATAATTTTTATAAAAGAAACACTGAAAAACATTTGTTATTTCAAAAATAAATATTTAACACTTTTATTTAATAAATAGAAGGGTTATAGCAGTAAAACTGTTGTAAAAGTATTTATCAGAAAATATTACTGAATGTCCTGTTTTTCATAATTCTTCCTAAATAAAATGGACAACTGTAAGGTATACAAGTAATTCTTCAGGAAATGATGATTTGGGCCCTGAAATGGTACCAAGAGCTTGAAGCAACCCCATCACATCCTCAGTATCATCTAAGTAGTACTTAGCTTTACTTGGTTTCTGACCAACAGTGCATGAAAAGATTTCTGGTGCAGGAGAAGAGGTTCCACCGTAAGCTTTGGTTAGTAAGCTCTCAAACATATCCTCGTCAGATCTATCATCCCCTATGCACAGTACAAAATCTGGGGATTTCCCTTTCTTGGTCATCTGGGACAGGATGTCCTCTACAATTAGCCCTTTAGTAATCCCCTGCAATGTTGATTAACCAATATTAAAACACATGAGAATAGTCATATGTTGAGAAATGAAGAGATAGATATGTACCTGTGACTTGACTTCAATAATATACTTTCCCTTCTTTACAACAAAGGGTTCATTTGCAAACAAATTTTCAAGATGATCCAATAGCTCCTTGGCTTGCCAAGATCCAAAATCAGGATCAGCATTATAGTAGTGCCATACCAAGGCACTCTCTTTGGTCTCTATATAAGAGCCATCTGTTGCCTCAGTATACATTCTCATCACAGGTTCAACAATTTCTTTCCCAGAAAAATTGGTACTTATATGATTCTTTTCCCAAGTTGACTGTGGACTCCATTTGTGACAAAAGACAAAACAAGACATCATTAATTTGGAGGATTTTCCAATAAAATGAAGAAAATAAAATCAGTACATAAGATGCAAAAATTTCTTAGAGGAGTACTAGCAACACCATCTTTGATAACATTTCTCTACTTGATATATGCATCATGAATGTATGAAAAATATCTATTCCTTCTCCCTCCTTTTGCATCAAACTTTGAAACTTGTATGGTGTCAGTTAGCTGTTTAAATTTTATAGTAACGGGTGTGAAGAGGACATGGTGATGCAAATGGCTTTATAAATTGAGTATGTGAAAGATTATAATCTGAATACCTATTAGAACCATACAAACATACTTCCACTACTAGACAATAAGAAACAAACCCATCAGAGAAAAATATAAACCTGAACAACGTAGTTGCCATACTGATCTTGAGCTAACATGCTAACTGCTCCTAAAATCTCATCCATAACTTTCTGCTGTTATAGGATCTTTGCAGTGCTCCAATACCCTCTGTCACATAGAAGGTTATTATTATATGACAAATGATCTTAAGTACATAATAAGAGTAATATACGTAGAGAAGAAACTTACCTGTATCACCCGACAACCATATGGATGGGTTGAGAGTGTCACAACTTGATCGAAAAATGTTGACACAATAAAGTGTATTGCATCTTCAGTGACACATTCAATACACTTTTGAATGACATGATTACCATTCTGATCACATACACAGCGCATGACATTACCATCAAGCTCTTGAACCATCTCTATGGCCTAGAGAGAGATACATAATTGCAAGATCAAAAGAAAAATGATAAGATATCCAGAAAATTATAGATAGAGCCGAACAAATCCATATCATTATCAACTACTGCCATATTATATTGTCAATACCTTCTGGATGACTCAGCAACCATACATTTGAAGGCTAAGTGTCAGAACATGGCCAAGAAGTTTAAATAATCCCCTGCAATGTTGATTAACCAATATTAAAACACATGAGAATAGTCATATGTTGAGAAATGAAGAGATAGATATGTACCTGTGACTTGACTTCAATAATATGTTTTCCCTTCTTTACAACAAAGGGTTCATTTGCAAAAAAAATTTCAAGATAATCCAATAGCGCCTTGGCTTGCCAAGATCCAAAATCAGGATCAGCATTATAGTAGTGCCATACCAAGGCACTCTCTTTGGTCTCTATATAAGAGCCATCTGTTGCCTCAGTATACATTCTCATCACAGGTTCAACAATTTCTTTCCCAGAAAAATTGGTACTTATATTATTTTTTTCCCAAGTTGACTGTGGACTCCAATACCCTCTGTCACATAGAAGGTTATTATTATATGACAAATGATCTTAAGTACATAATAAGAGTAACATACGCAGAGAAGAAGCAAAACTTTCATCAATGTTCCCATATCTACATGCCAAGGTCCCATGACCCTAGCTAAATTCCTCATTCCCGAAGCAAAACGCATATTTAGTTCATTGTGCCTAAGAGGACTTCCAGAGCCAACTAGAGAAGTGGATAAAACAAATATTGCTGTGAAAATTTCACTGTAACCTTCGATTAGCATTGTCTACATTTTAATTTAGGCTTAGCAATGAAATTTCAAGTTAAAATTTGATGAAGGATTCACTGATTTTAGCTCGTGTAATGGAATGACTACCTGATGCATAAACCAAAGCATTCATTAACTGCCATCTGCACAAACCAAAGCATTCATTAAAATGCACAGCATTAGTACCAAACTAAGTACGTTGGGTTTACACATATACAATAACCTCCCTGTATCCAATATCCTCTAAACAAAACTGATCGCTTCCATCAAAATGCACATATTAACATTAGTACCAAACTAAACATCTCCAATCAAATAAATTCAAAGTGCCCGCTTGCAACAAGGAACAAAATGCCCCAATAATCAAAACGGAACCTCAATCTTCTCACACATGCCTCTAGCAACAAACAAGATTAAAGAATTTACACGAAAAATAAAGAAGAAAAAAAATCCAATAGAAACTATTTCCGACAGAAAAGAGTGCTTTAGTATATTAAAGTACAAAAGTGTCTTGGTATCATGATAAGAATAAAAGGAACAAACTGTAGAACAAGAATAAGAATAAGTCAATAATAATAGTCTATTAATCTGGTGAAGTGAATTCAATAAACAAAATGGACATGTTATTGAATGAAGCAGTGATAGGAAATGAAATTAATGAAGCAGTGATAGGAAATGAAATTGCAAGTGTGAAGAGAAAAGAGACCAGAATTGGGACGAGAGAAGAATCACTTGGTAGTTGGCACATTAAAATGCACAGCATTACTACCAAACTAAGTACGTTGGGTTTACACATATACAATAACCTCCCTGTATCCAATATCCTCTAAACAAAACTGATCGCTTCCATCAAAATGCACATATTAACATTAGTACCAAACTAAACATCTCCAATCAAATAAATTCAAAGTGCCCGCTTGCAACAAGGAACAAAATGCCCCAATAATCAAAACGGAACCTCAATCTTCTCACACATGCCTCTAGCAACAAACAAGATTAAAGAATGAACATGTCCCTGTTATTTTAACTAACCATGTGTTTTGGTGAGTTGGGTGAAACACACCAGCACGATTCCAGAAAAGTAAGAATTCAAAGCACTAGCTCCTCTTTGTTTTCTATTTACTAGTTACTTTGTCAATGTTCACTTGATCCTAGATGAGCAAGGTTGCTTGCTATAAGAAAAACCCGGCTTAAGTAATTTTTTAATTAATACGACCACTTATCCAACAATATGTTTAATGTTTTCACTCCACACAAAATACAGAACATTAGTTACTTCAAAGCTAAAACATGTATATATGCTAAACCTCCATCCTTTAAATCAAGAAATCCTTGCAATTAACACTAATATTTATGCATTAAACTATCCTCCCAAAATACTTCTCATTGACAAAGCCGAATCACAAACATGACTGCATTAATATTTTCTATTCCCACAAGCCAAACAGAGTTTCAGTTCCCAAGAGCTGGAACTGAAATCTATCAAATCAACATCTCAGGGCACATTACCAAAGTACAAGTAAATTTGCAGGTAAAAGCATGTAGGCATACCAAATGAAACCTAGAATTAGATGGATGCAAGGGCCAAAATTATGTCTAGTAAGAAAACCAAAAACTCTCAAATAGACCAAAAATATAGCAAGTCCTAATCTGATACCGCAACAGAGTTAGAAGTCAACAATAGAAAGCATTGCAGAATGAAACCTTGGGAAGCAGGATCCTTTTTTCAAGTCAAGAATATCATTGTTGTATTCATCATAAAGAGACACAGCTGCAACAATGTACCCAAGGCCAAACAAGAAAGAAGACTCCTGCATTTCAAAGAACAAAATAAACAAATAATGCCCAAGAGAAAACCATGCAGCATCAATAAACCACAAACTGTCATTTCACATCCCAGAATCATACACTTTTGAGTTCTGACTCAGATTCATCAAATTGTGCATAATCACAAGAACACAAGAAAAACAAATTAAAATTATTAGAAAAACAAATTAAAATTATTAGAAAAACAAATAAATAAATATAGCAATTTTCGCTTCAAAGAATCGACTCACCATAACTATATCGCAACCTTCTGATTTTCGCTTCCCCCTATGACCTCTCTTGCTGCGAAAATATTGGGGTTTAGGGTTTTTCAGAGGAACGATTTGAGTTTCATCGTTGTAACGATCAAAGAAAGGATTTAGGTTAGGTTTGGAGAACAAAAAAGCAAGCGGCTAGGGAAACTCCATTAACGGCAGTGAGCTATGGTCGAGGTGTTTGACGCTTCCATGGTTGTGGAGTTCAAGTTTCGGACTGATGAGGGAACTCTCCATTGAAGATGCTAAGTTTGGGAGACGAATCTTGAGGTTGTGGGGTTTTGAGTTTGAGTGATGTCGAGGTTCAGTGTTGCCGGAGCTCGTCACTTTACAGGGCATTCAATATTACATCGTTTCTACCTTAAAACTCTCTTCCGATACTACATCCGTTAATTAGAAACCGACGTAGAATATTGAATTTTTACATCTAAATATACCAACTTTTTACATTTAATTACGAAAGTGCCACCGTATTTATTTTTTACATCGTTTTTCATATAATCGATGTAAAATTGCCGTCGTAGAATAATAATTTTCTAGTAGTCATTTGTTTTTAAATACTATTAGTAGTACTAGAGTTACATTCAATCATATATTGGACATAGATATATATATATATTATAACTACTTCTAAAAGTCTAACTATATTTCATACTACTAAAAGATTTTTTCAACCTATGATCACTAATCAACTATCATGTGTCCTTGTCCCAATTTTCATGGGAGAAATCTATGATTTTTGGAACATTAAAATGAGGACATTATTTTTTTGTTCTCAAGATTTATTTGCTACATACATGTTTTTTTGATAAAAAAAGAGACACGAAACTAGAAGAGAAGTGATAAATGTCATGTTTGCTTTAATCTTATGATTTGAAGCACTTATCTTAATTTCCTTGACTTAAACACTTAATTTGATCTAAATTTATCTTAATTTGTAGAAAGTTAACTTTAGTTTATAACTTGAGCTTTTAGAAAATTTACAAGTCTTTTGATGTTATTTTGTAGATGAGATCAAGGAAAAGAATGAAAAACATTAAAAACAAGTGAAAAGTTTGATGAGGCATCAAGATATAATAGAAAAAAATTGGTTAAGTATTGGCGTTGAGCATGGAATACCATGCTCAACACCAATGTTCCAAAAAATTTAGCAAATTGATTTATTTTTCCATACTAAGCATGAATTCCACGCTAAGTGCAACAACTCCAAAGGTCATTTTTTGTTATTCTCTATTTCAAGCTAAGTGTGGATTTCCATGCTTAGCATTAGAAGTGTTGACATGTCATTAAAGAGAAGAGACAAAAGGGTTTATGACCTAAAATTGGAGATTTGAAGATAAATCGTTGAGGAAAATTTCTAGGAGTGTGTGTGATGGTTAGAAGAACTCTAATGGCTTCAAGAACAAGTTGTTTATTTCTTCATCATTTTTGTTGTGTTTCATGTCTATGTGTAGCTAAGTTCACCCTTGTTAGAGTTTGACGTAACCATACATATTCTCATGTTCACATTCTATGTTATTAATCATAATTGTTATTCAATATTATTGCTCACTTATTTGCTTAATGCTTGTTATGATTTTGTAAGTGTAAAGTGATTGGAAAATGTTTGTGAACCTTTGAATTGAAGTAGAGCAATTAATGGTGTTTACCTCTAGGAATAGAGTAAATGCTATTAGTCATTCAAAAACTTTTGTTCTTAAAGTTTGGTTCTTAGTTAAATAATGCACGGAATTGATAACTTAGTCAAAAAACTTAGACTCTTGTAAGGAATTCAAGTTTGAGTATATTTGTTAATTGAATGATAATTTTTGAACCTATAAATGGATAAAAACTTGTTTGTAAGCATGAGAAGATAGTTTGGTGAAGTTAAATTTCAACATATTTCATTAGTGTTAAAATTAGTTATTGCATTTCAAGTGTTTGTAAAAATACCAAAAAGATTTTCTTAAAACATTTATTTTTATTTAAAAACTTTCTTTATTTCCTCGATCAATCAAAAATTCCTTTCCCAATAGTTTAGTTTAGTATAATTAGTAATTTATACTAAGTATTGCATAAGTTCTTTGGAAAACAATACTCATACTCATCATTGAATTATTTATACAAATTGATATGTTTGTCGAGGAGATAACAACAAGACCATACAAGGAATCTTTTTGGAGTGTAACACATAGTCAAAAGGTAACCGAATCTACAATTTGCAAACAAAGAAGCTCATCATCATCAATAGAGAGATGTTGAAGTTGATAAAACTACTATTTGGAATTGGGAAAAAGAAAAAATTTCTAAAAGCAACATTTTCGTTTTAGTACAACAACATGAAGAAATTTAAGAAAGGACACAAGAGCTAAACATATATAAGACTTGCAATACAACCATGGTTGAGCCTAAGTCCTATGAAGAATCATTAGAGAAGTAGGAAAAACAAAACAAATCCGACTTAAATACTACATGATAAAAGATCAAGTTACACACATATTTATGAAAGCATTATCAAGAATGAAGTTTGAGTAACTATACGGACTACGTTTGGAATTCCTAAAATTTGCATCAAAGAGTATTAGAACCTGGTGCAGATTTCTAGATATTTCATAATTGTTGTAAGAATTCTAGAGATATTATTGAGATTTCCTCAAACGTGATTATAGAAAACCACTCCTACTCTTCCTCTTTTATTCAACTACTCTATTCAATTACCTATTGTTCGTCGTTGTCATTCTTCATCTCAAATCTCTAGCTACTTGTTGGTTCAAGACTATGAGGAGATAACAAATTGAAACGGCAACAATAAAGAAAGGAGAGTGAGAGAAAAATTTTTATTTGGTACAGTTGGCACATGAATACTATTGTGAGAATGAGATGAATATATGATGGTTAATAAAAGTAGTAAATCATAAATCACTTGTCAAAAGTAATTCACTGTAGCATTGCTTAAGTCATCAATACCACTCCTAAGATATAAATTAATTCGAAGCAATTTTCTAAGATATATGATAAAATAAGCACATTAACCTTTTAAAATATTATTCATTCAAATAACACAATATAATTGACTCAATTTGTTCTTGTGTGTGATATACTCCAAGTGACCCTAGAAGCCAAACTATTTTCTTAAAAATTTCAAAGACTAAAATAATTAATTTTAAACTTGGAACCAAAATCGAACTTCTACAAATCCGAGGAACTAAAAAAGCCAAACTTTTACTTAATTTGTTTCTTTGAATATGAGGAAGTAGCAAGCAAGCACATGCGCCGCACAAAGCAGCTGTTAGCAAAGGAAGTGAAAAGAGGTTAATTTGTTGTGTTGTTGGCTCTCTCTAACGAGGTAGTGACAAAGTAGTATGGCGTTGTCGTTCTCACAGAAAAAGGGTGGTGTCCGTACAGACATAGAACTTTGTGATCCAGAATTGGATGGCGTGGAGCATTCTAAGCCTATCGTATTACGGGCTGCCTGAGTTCGATTTAAGCTACAATTTGCTGTTACTGTTCCCACCAAAGATGTCAACCTTACACGTGATGTCACTGTTCAACTATACTCCCAAATTAGGCTAAAGTACAAAAACCAACTTCGTCAGTTATGTCCCCATCTTCTTGTCCCTCTAAATCCAACCACATCTTCTTAAATCTTAATCCTCTTCTTTAGATCACACACATGTATACCTTCCACTTCAAAAATATCCTACCTAGCTAGCTGCATTGCTCATTGTTATTACACACTCATCAATAATATTCATATAATCTATAATTCTTCAAGTTTAATTTAGTTAGTGGTAGATTAAGATCAAATAAACTTCTTTATAAGTATATTTGAATATAGTGTTAGGAAGAGTTTTTGAATATAAAAAAAATAAAGAGCATTTTGTTTGGTAAAAAAATTCTTAAAAATCATTCTAAACTTGTATTTAGACATGTTTTCTATAATATTTATAGAAAAGAGAATAAAAAGAAAACATGAATTAGGTTACTTGTATAAGCTATTTTAACTTATATATAAGTTGAAATTAACTATTGAATGATTTAAATGATAGAACTTTTACGAAGTGGTTTATATGATAAATTAAATTTATTTTAGTTTTTCTTTTGAATTCCTTTTTCTGTAAATGCTTATGGTCCAACGTGACCTAATTCAGGTTTAAAATGCATGTTGGGTCATATAATTTGAGATTAGGTGACCGATTCTTGGAGTTAATGATGAGATAAATAGTAAGCAATGTGCTAGCTAGTGTTTCAGATTAATTTTGACTTGAATTTGGATCTCACCTGTGCAAGATATGGTCAAAGATTCAAGAGAATAGTATCATCATGATTAGTTTAAGAAATGTACAAGTCTATTTCTTTATGATCATATCATGTTATTATTCAAGAATAGGAGGGGTCCGATTAATTTTATGAGCTGGTATCTAAAATAATTGAAGAGTCAAAAGAAGACTCACATAAGTATAAATTATTATGATGAAATCAAAGCTATTAGACCCTAATTGAAAAACTCACGGAAACTTGTGTTTCCATCTCATCACTTCTATTTTGTTTGCAGAAAAAACAATCAAGTCTTTCCCTCTATGTCTTACACTGTCAGACGTTTCTTTGATGTTCTTATTTCTTTTTCCTAATAATGTGATTTTATTACAAGGCACCATCATGCATTTGTGTTGTCTATTCGTGCATCCTCACAAACACACCCACATCATAGACCATTCAATCAAACGCCCTGACAAAATTTCACTAACCCATTAATTGTTGTGTGACTCCTCAGTGCATTTTCTCTAGTACTGTTCCAACATCCAATTAATGTTAATACCTGATTTCTTTCCTGCCAAGGCTAATTGCAGTCTTGCTTTTGAACTTTGACATCTCAAAAGGCCCTACGCAACAAAATAATATAATGTTGAACATGTAACCCCCACTTGCTTCACTATTCTATATGTACTATAAATAAGATTATAATAATTGTATCACTATTCATGGACTAGAAATAAAATTATAATAATATATAAATAGGAAACAATTCTTTTCTTATAATTGATAAGGTTGAGTTAAATCTAAATGTTTATATTCTAGCATGGTATTAAAGCATATGAAAATTTATATTTATTAATATATTGTATCACTTGATATTAGATTGCTATTAAACTACTTGTCAATATTAAGTTCTACAAACTTTATGTTCAAATTTAATGTGAGAAATGTTAAAAATTTCATGACGACTAAAGATATACGTAGAAAGTAATTACCATCTTACAACTTAGTTTTATAAAATTAAATTATATTTAAATCCATATTCTAACAATGTGATATAATATTATATACACTTGAAAATGTGTAATTCTTAGCCTTTTTGTTTTTGCATCAGGTAGAATAATACTACTATTAATAATTATTTAACAGTGAGAATGAGAACCGTACTTCATGCTAATAATCTGAATTCTGAGACTCTCCTGCACATGCATAGTTGTCCCACAAATGTCCAAAGGGTGGTTGGCATTTAGTTTTGCCTCAGACTTGGAAACTACAATTTCCAGGATCCTCTGAAAGCAAAAGGACTCTGAGCTAACTTTCTTCACTTCTTTATTTTTTTCAGTTGAATGATCGTTTATTTATTTATTTATTTATTATTCTTTAATTAGTTCATTATTATTTTATTTTCTTACTTGGAGTAAACAATATAAAAATCAGGTGGGGCTCTCATAGTGATTATATTACCAAGCATATGAAGGTCAAATTTGATTAAGTTACCAAGCTACCTGATGATGAACTTTTTCCTTTTCACTTTTTTCTCAATGAAGACAAGTTTTTGACTTTGCTTACACAACTCTAGGTTTATCATCGTTTCCCTCTAATCATCGCACCATAGTGGGGCCAATTCAGTTTGGATTTTGTTTATCCTTTCAAAATCCTAACTTTCATAATCTGTGCAATTCATAGGACTAGCTAGCTGTCACATACATCTTATCAGAATATACCACTTCTGTTGCTAGGTTTACCTTGTATTTGTGTCACTAATGGTGAAACTTTCATAAATTTCACTTCTCTTTGAAAAGCAATACACAGTAAACTTAGACTCTTAGAGGGAAATATATAGTTATTATTTTAAATAGAAAAATTAATAAAATAAGCTTTAATAATTTCGTAATTTTATTATATATGTTTATATACTTTTATAAATGTTAAATGCTAATTTTTATGACCAATAATTATAAACTCAAAGAAAGTACATCTTTCATCTTAAAAGTCAAATTCAGTTTTTTTTTTTTTTCACATATACAAAGGTGCATCAATTCACAATTCATATCAATTATATATTATATTCATAGAATTAAGATTTTTCACACTAAAATTTTATTATAGAAAATAATCTTTACATCATAATATCATTCAATTACCAAATATCATATATATATATAAATTTATTAATTTTGATAATAACTATCTTAAGAGTCATACAATGTAATTTTCATGTATATAAAATTTATAAAGTACAAATTTTTAAGATCATGCTAACTAAGAAATTAAACTTCAATTTTTCTACTTATTTAATATTTTTCTTTATTTCTCTCTTTTTTTTCTTGTCACATGCATCACTCATCATATTCATCACTTTATTCTTTTCTAATTTGTCTTAATTTCCTCCATGTTGGTGCATGTCACCCCAAAAAGTGTGGAATGAGAATTTTTTTCTAATCCACAAATATATCCAAGGAAAACTACTATATAATAAAGGGGTAATTAATTAATTTAAAGAAAAAGGAAAGAGGGGAAATTAAAGGAGTAGGAGTAGGATGAGCTGGTTGATTTGAAATGAGAGGGAAAAAACTTGTAAGTAGGGGAGAGGCTGGAAGTGCAAAGAGAAAAGAGTACCACTTAAAGGGGTTGGAGTCATGTGAGGTGCATTTATAGTGGGGTTTTGGTGTTTTTGTTTTGTAGCAGCACATGGGTTGAGAGACTCCCTTCTGTGGGTAGTTGTGAAAAGCAACAAGCATGTGAGGCCATGTGCCATTCAAAATAGACCACTCCCACCACTAGTATGTATTTTGCACACTCATATCTTTGTGCTGTACCTCTCTGTGAACACTGCACTCCCTTTAATCACTCTCCCACACATATACTCCTTTTCTAGGTCTCTACGTCCTCTTCTTTTTGTGCCTGTTCGTGCGTCCATATTTAACTTAGTCATCACCAATCGTGTGAATCAAACCACACATGATTGATTTATAGTAATTTCAATTTCAAGTTATGTGTGTACACAACTGTATTAAATAATTAAAAATATATATTAATGTTTATTTTATTAATGATTTTATCTGACTTCATACTTATTTCGATTAGTAATTAATAATTATAATTCAATTCCTTTATCACTCCAATTATTTAGTTGCATGGGGCCTCTCATGTCAAGCAAAATTCAAACTTTATTTGCTAGTGAACTTCATGAAACTCCTATAACTTGAACTATCTTCAACACTAACTTCATCACCACAACCACCATTCCCCTAAAAGCTTCTTTTTGCCTTCTTTCTCCTTAACATAGCTGACAAAATCAACCCTCTCCCCACTTTCACATTACTTTACTTTCTTCATTTTGCACCCTCTTAACTTCTATTAATTTCCTCTATCATCACTCACACATTCCTCTCCTTGTTCTTCTTTCTTCTTTTCATCCTCCCTCACACTTCTTGCTTAGATACATTTTTTTTTTTTTTAATTTTCTTTGTATAACAAAAGGTGTACCTACGTTTGGATTTGATGGAGGGTCAACCTGCTAAACGAAGACGTGTATACTCACTTGAACCCAACAAAGTGGAACAAGCAGTGTTTGCTAGGAACTACATGAACTACTTGGTTCCAGCATTGATGAAGATCAAGGAAAGAAGCTCTTCACAACACAGTGGCCATTGTGATGATATTCAGAATGTTGTTAAGTACGAGGTGGACATGGCAATGGTGTACTCAGCCCAAGGTTATGCATGGAGCAATGCTCTAAGTGTGAAGCTTCAAAGGGATAGGGCCAATGTAGATAGTGATGACACTAAGGCTGGTGAAGGCTCATCAAAAATTTGTGGCCAAAATTGTGATGAAATGGTGCCATTGAATCATTTCCCTTCAAACCCTAGTTTGAAGTCTAGTAATAAGCGCAAGGACATGCTAGAAATCAAAAAGGGTTTAAGAGAAGATGGTGATGAAGAAAATGATGAAGTCATCAATGGCCAGTTGAAGAGCCTAAGAAGGTTGATACCAGGGGGAGAAGAGATGTGTAGTGAACAAATGGTGACAGAGCTACAAAGCTATGTAAGTTGTTTGCAAATGCAGGTGAACATTCTTCAGTGTCTCGCTGAGACACATTGATATGATTCATTCATATGTATCTGCTTTGCTTATTATTATTGTTGTTATTATCTATGTGTTTCACATATAATATATATTGACAATTATTATCAAATTAAGCAACTATATATCTATATAATATGCTGTACGTTGTATTGTGTTTTGAATATCGTGTTGTATATATTGTTTTTCCAAATCTGTTAGGTGGAGAAGGGAACAAATTGTGCAAAAGAAAAGCTAGAAGGAAGTAACAATATTATACTCTCCAATTGATTATTCACAATGCACTATAGAGTTTTTGTTGTTTATTTTTTTCTTAACAAAATTTAGATACAGTTTTTTTTTAGATGTGATTAATATTATTCTTTAAAAAGAATTAGGGATTTACTTTTGTACATTTATATTTAATACATATTTTATTAATATACATTTACACATTAACAAAATAAATCACTAATTCTAATTGAAAGATAGAATTAATCACACTTAAGAAATTGTAATTAAGTTTTTTTTTCTTATTATGTGTATGTATGACGTATATATGATAATGCAATTTCATTAATCTCAATGTTTAGTTTATCTATATTATTAATAAAAGAGATTATCCCATTTGATATTCATATTTTTGGACAATTTTATTTTTATAGTTATTTTTTAGGAATTACAATTTTTTTAATAAATTTTACTGTATAATCATCATCTCTTTTCTTTTAGATAATCACTTAAAATTATATGATTTTTATTATTTATTATTTTTTAAGAATAATTCATGAAGATAAAGAATGTCTTTTGTAGGCCGGTGGTAATAATTTATACAATATTAAAGAGGAATGAAAATTTGACGGTTAAACTGTGGGGTACTTTATTTTATTCGCATGTATTAGATATTCAAGCTAATGAGTTGACATATACAATCTTCTACTTTGTTTTATTATTTTTTTTTCACTACCATCATTGTTGGCCTAATTTACGCATTCTGAAATCTGTCCTTAAATTCTGGGACCACAAAACATGTGAATTTCATCCATCATGATGAAGAGGGAAATGGAATAAAGAAAAAGTTGTGCAACTGAAGCTTCCACTAAGTCACTGAATTTAACTCCAAATTAGTCAGCTTGATGATACATTCAGTCAAAAAGGCATAGGAAAATTTTAATATGCAAAAATATTTTTAGAACTTTGCATCATGAAAGGGTCCATGTATAACTAATTTAATTTGTGTATGTATACATGAGGAACTCAATACAAGTAATATGTAAAGTTGGGAAGTACTAATTGTAGGTTCAGCTTGTTTTTGTACGTGAGTTAGGCACTTCTTGTCACTTTTTAAGAAACTTCTCTTTATAGATTAAAATAAAAAAAGAAAAAAAGAAAAAAGAAAAAAGGATTTGTGTGGTATATGGAACATTTGAGAGAATGAGTGAAGCGAGAAAAAATAAGTGAGTAAAGAGCATAGGGTATTTATTGAAAGGGAAATGGTGAAAAGAAGAATTAGAAAAGTATGATCCCTCACTTTTTTATTTCTTTCCAAAGCACTTGGGGAATGAATATACACATGATTTCAATTGATAATTGATTATTGGTGATTGATAATCGATTATCGTTTGTTTTTCCTATGATATGATTAAATTTTGGTTTTTATAATTTCAAAAAATTAATTTTAAAATATATTTTTTATTTTTTTATTTATCTCTTTTCTATTTCTCTTAGAATTTGTTTGATTTGTTAAAAAAAATGGTGTTAAACAACGCAATATAATTATTTAATTTGATTTAAGAAAGATAATAAGACAATACACATCAAAAGAAAATAAAAACAACAAAATCTCAACTCTTTTTTTTTATTCAATAAATCATGAGACAATTTTTTATTTTAAGTGCAAGATAATTAAAAGATAAAAATAATCATATTAATTTCTTATTTAAATATAATGTTTCTCTTTTAATTATCATTATATGTTACTATTATTACAATATTATTATCATTACTATCACACCACCATTAGCTTCTAGTGCACCACCACTTTAATCGTTGTTGTTAATATTGTTACTATCACATATTATTGTCGTTATCATTACCATTAATTATATATTAGCATTGTATTAAAATAATTATACAATTATTGTTAAGATAACTAAAATTAAGAAGGGTAATATAGTAAATTTTATATTGTTTTGTTTGTTTTGTCCACCAAATAATGCACACGATAACAAAACTGTCTAATATCTTGAGCATTTGTCATGTGTTGTGCCTTAATATATACCAAATGCACCCTTAAACCAAACATCTTAGTTTTAACTCTTTCTCATAGTTTTATTCATTTTTTTTCCCTCTATTCTTTATTCTATCCATTTTATTTTTTACATATTCCTTTTCATCCTACTTGTGTGTATATATGTGTGAGTGGAGCATTTCAAATGAGAACTTTTAATCATAGTCCTTAAATTACAATAAAAGATTAAGATAATTGAAATTAAAATTTAATTATAAACACTTTATGGGACCTTTATTATTACTATCTCCATTACCACCATCATAAATGTTGTTCATCACCATCATTATCATCATCATCACAATCATCATGAGTAGTGCGGTGATGATGGAAGCAACAATAGCTAATGGCAACAACAATAGGTGGTAGCAACAATAACTATAGGTAGTAACAACAATGGTGATAATGACAACAATAATAGTGATGATATAGAGACAATGACAATAATAATCTCATAAGATAAGTTTATAATTGAGTTTTAATCTTAATTGCACAATTTTTTTAACTGTAATTTAAATGTTATCATTGAAAGTTCTCATTTTCTCATTCGTAAAAGTTTCTACTTTTTTTTTTGTTTAACATAAAGGTATAACTTTTTCTCATCAAATTTCACTACAAAAAAAATTGTATTTAGTGACCACCAAAATTGGTCGCTAAATTGCTAAAATCAGTCGTTATTTGTCTTAGCGACCGAATTAGCCACCGAATTAAAGTAGTTGCAAAAACCCTAGTCGCAAAGCTATATAGCGATCAAAAAATTTTCGGTCGCTATTTAACGACCAAAAATTTTGGTCGCAAAATGGTTGCAATGATTTTGGTCGCTGATGTGTATGGGGACCAAATTAGTGACCGAATAAATCGGTCGCTAAAGATTTATTTTTTATTTTATTAAATTTTATAGACGTTGCAAATTCGGTCGCTACGAAATACTCATATTTGGCCTCTCAAGGATTCTATTTCACAATACTTCACTTTTCAGCATGTGTTTGTCCTTAATTACACAACTTTTGAGAAATTTTCCAGAAGGTCACCCATCCCTATATTACTCCAAGTCAAGCACACTTAACTGTAGAGTTCTTATGAGATATAATAATATATTTAATAATTATATTACCAATAATAATAATTATATTATATTTAATTAATCTTTATTTATATATACTTACTTTTATAATTAACAATCTACTTATTTCTATTTAAAACTAATATTATGATACAATTTAAATTATCTATTATAAATTTAAAAGTTTAACTAATAATTTTTATATTTTAAAGAAGGGTTATAATAACACTGATATAACTTTTACTAAGTATTACATTGTTCAATAACTTTATATTAAATGTGAATTTTGTAAATTCAACCGTTAAATTGAAAGTTCATATCACTTTATATGTTTATATCAAGTTTTGTTAAAATTGAATAACAACTTGAAGGTAATCAAAGTGCTCATATTTTAATATATTTTGAAATGTATATGTTACGTCAATTTTATTTTACAAGAATGAAGTATCAAATCATCTTGAATTCATATAAAATTTTGTATATATGATCTAAGAGTAAAAAACTTTCAATCTAACGGTTGAATTTATAAAATTCACATTTAATATAAAGTTATTGAGCGATGTAATACTTAGTAAAAGTTACACATGTGTTATTATAACACTTCTCTTTTAAAATATTATTTTTATAAATTAAATTTTAACATTTTAAATAAATTATTAATTAACTTAATATATATTTATTCATCTTAAAACTAAGATATAAAATTTAAAAAATGTATTTATCCTTGTTTTATTTTCTAATTATCAACCATTAATAAAATACTAATTATCAAGTTATATCATAATATTTTCATATCAAGTTTAAAACCAGATATTAGTTATAAAATATGTTAATTTGTGTTGGAATTTTATTTCAACATGAAACTTTAAAATAAATATACGAATAAAAAAACTCCGTTAAAACAGTCACATATTCTATTTAGTAGAGAAAAAAGCAAGGAAACGCATTGTGATATATTAAAAACTGATCAAAAAAAACCAGCGAGTGGTTTGCCCAATTAGTTAAGGGAGAAGACTTAAGATTTTCTCCACGTAAGTATATGTGTGGATTGGAGCTCTACTGTTAGCAATTTTAGCCTTTTTAAATACATAGACAGTAATATTTATTGTTTAATATGATAATTAATATGTTTATAAATTTAAATACAGTAGAATGTTGGGTTAATATTTTAATAGATAGTCGGTAAATGACGTTGCGCCATGTCTTTGATGAAACAACAAATAATAATTTTAAAAATATCCGATTTATAAAACTAAATTGAAATTAAAATATATTATTTTACTTGGATGAGGAGTAAAATATAATTCTTTGCTATATTTATTCCAAACTTTATTATCCAATTTCAAAAGAATGTGAACCAGATTCTCAAGGTTGTGCACTATCTCTTGGTTATCAGAATCCAAAGTGCTTGCATGGAATCAATCAGTTGTACTTGCTGCAGAAACCATCCCAAAATTATCATAGGTAGTATCAGAGAAGGAAAATGGGCAATAAAATGCTTAGTAGGAAGTTGAGAGCAAATAATTCTATTTGATTGCCAGGTTGCAACCACAAATTAAAGTTGATCTTTTATTCACTTTGAGATTTGTGTGAAAGTATGTTTTTGAGTCTCTGTAATAGCTGCACGTGGAGTATTATTTGCTTCACTACTTTTTTCAATTAAAATATTCATGTTAAAACCATGCTATGGTGTTATTGAAAGAAAAGTCCTAAATTCGTGCTTGAAAATGTTAATTTCGAGTTACAAGAAATCACACAGAAATAACTGTTGACTGTTGTTATTTAAAAATAGAGAAATTTTACGGTACTCACTATAATTGTAGGGTACTGGAACAATTATTTTATTTATTTATTTTTATTTATTATAATTACTTGTTTTATTTTTATTTTTATTTAATATTTTTAATTATTTATCTGTATAAAATTTTCTATATCTTTGTATTATTTTTATATTTTTTAATTTATATCTTAATGTAGCATCTATTATAATTAAAAAGTTTAATATTAATATTTTGTTAATATGTTTTAGTTTTTCTTTGGTGATATTTTTTTTAATTTATAGTATAAATTAGTTTTTCAGTTGTATTATTTATTTTTTATTTTAATGTTTTAATAATATTATTATAATTTTTTGTTTTTAATTTTTTAATTTTTTCATATATAAACAAAATTTGTTATGAAAATTGATCTTTGATTTTTTTTAATTAGTCTTTTTTATTGATTCATTTTATACAAATTTTTAATCTAAAATTTATGTTATTTTGAATTTATTTTATAAAATTTATTTATTCACATAATTTAATATACTAAAACCCTTCGATTTTCATGGGTACCATAACATTTCCCTTAAAAATATACCAAGTTGATAAAGAAATTAAAAAATAAAATATAATGTTTTGCTTGGATAATTAATATATTTATTTCAAACTTTATTAGATAATTTTAAAAGAAATTAAACCAGATTTATTCTTTTAAAATTTGTTGGGGGTTATTTTATTAGTTATTTATGAGTATTATTTTTTATAAGTTATTAGACAAACATACTCTACAAGATATTGTCCGCTTTGAGCTTAAACGGTTTTGCTTTTTAGCCATTACTCAAAAGGCCTATTGATTATTGAAGTATTTTTGTATTATATAAGTTGTTATTTCTTTTATTATTTTATCGATGTGAAACTTGTTTGTATGCCAATAAAATTTGCATGCAATTTTAAAATGAGAAAACCACAACTTAAGCTAATACATACTAACTAATAAAAAGCATGATTCACAAATTGTGATGCCAAGTATCCGTCACAAACTGTGATGCCTAGTATCCGTCACAAACTGTGATGACAAGAATTGACTAGAATCCGTCACAATTTGCGACGTCAGAATTCCGTCACAACTTGCGACGGATAAAATTGTCACTAACTGGGATGAATCCCTCACAAACTGGGCGTCTTTGATGACTAAATTTGTGATGAATAACTGCGAAATCTGTCACAAACTGTTGTACTGAATGAAATCCATCAGTGATAAATAAAATCCGTCACAAATTGCCTATCAAATTGCCTTGCCTCCATACCAGAACGGCCCGTTCCAAGGTCGTTCTGCAACAACAAAAACAAAACATTTTTAATGCTTGGAACAGCCCATTCCGATCTTTTAAAAAAAACTAACCTCCCAATCATGCTTTTTATTAGTTAGTATGTATTAGCTTAAGTTGTGGTTTTCTCATTTTAAAATTGCATGCAAATTTTATTGGCATACAAACAATAGTTTTATAAATCGGATATTTTTAAAATTATTATTTGTTGTTTCATCAAAGACATGGCGCAACGTCATTTACCGACTATCTATTAAAATATTAACCCAACATTCTACTGTATTTAAATTTATAAACATATTAATTATCATATTAAACAATAAATATTACTGTCTATGTTAATAAACATAATTGTCTTTTTATTACATACTTTTGACAAGGATTAGAATCTCCCATCAACAGATTAATAGCTTGTAGCGAATTAAAACACAGATAACATTACTATATTTAAATATATAAATATATTATCATATTAAACAAAAATATTATGATTTAAGATTTTTTTATAATTAAATTGTTGACACGAAATATCCAATTATTTGTCTGTGATTAATTACTGCCAAAAAAAAAAAAAAAACCTGACTGGACACCTTTAAAAAAAACTAACCTCCCAATCATGCTTTTTATTAGTTAGTATGTATTAGCTTAAGTTGTGGTTTTCTCATTTTAAAATTGCATGCAAATTTTATTGGCATACAAACAAGTTTCACATCGATAAAATAATAAAAGAAATAACAACTTATATAATACAAAAATACTTCAATAATCAATAGGCCTTTTGAGTAATGGCTAAAAAGCAAAACCGTTTAAGCTCAAAGCGGACAATATCTTGTAGAGTATGTTTGTCTAATAACTTATAAAAAATAATACTCATAAATAACTAATAAAATAACCCCCAACAAATTTTAAAAGAATAAATCTGGTTTAATTTCTTTTAAAATTATCTAATAAAGTTTGAAATAAATATATTAATTATCCAAGCAAAACATTATATTTTATTTTTTAATTTCTTTATCAACTTGGTATATTTTTAAGGGAAATGTTATGGTACCCATGAAAATCGAAGGGTTTTAGTATATTAAATTATGTGAATAAATAAATTTTATAAAATAAATTCAAAATAACATAAATTTTAGATTAAAAATTTGTATAAAATGAATCAATAAAAAAGACTAATTAAAAAAAATCAAAGATCAATTTTCATAACAAATTTTGTTTATATATGAAAAAATTAAAAAATTAAAAACAAAAAATTATAATAATATTATTAAAACATTAAAATAAAAAATAAATAATACAACTGAAAAACTAATTTATACTATAAATTAAAAAAAATATCACCAAAGAAAAACTAAAACATATTAACAAAATATTAATATTAAACTTTTTAATTATAATAGATGCTACATTAAGATATAAATTAAAAAATATAAAAATAATACAAAGATATAGAAAATTTTATACAGATAAATAATTAAAAATATTAAATAAAAATAAAAATAAAACAAGTAATTATAATAAATAAATAAATGAATAAATCTAGTTTAATTCCTTTTAAAATCATCAAATAAAGTTTGAAATAAATATATTAATTATCCAAGCAAAACATTATATTTTATTTTTTAATTTCTTTATCAACTTGGTATATTTTTAAGGGAACTGCTCTAGTTAATCTTCTCTTAAGCTCTTGAAAACTCTCCTCACATCTAAAGAAAGTTTCGCTAAGAATTTGTCGAACTTTCTCAATCTATTTAAAGAAGATGAAGTGGAATCTTCACGTAAGAAAAGTCTTCTCATTTCTTCGGTCTCTATAGAAAGGTTCTACCAAAATGAAGATAATTATTTTGGAATCAACCTTGCTAACAACTGAAGCTTCAATCTTTGTAATAGTTTAAGTGAAGAGGCCTTAACTTTTTCAATTTTTACAATAGCATGTAATAGTTTAGGTCATTGCTCTTGTACTATTCACTCTAGCAGTTTGGTAAAAAACAACAACATACATTACCCATAGGAGAAAGACCTGCATTGGATGTTATTATAGTTTGGCGTCTAAAGATAGAGAAATGGTTAAATCAGAGTTTCCTCCATCACACAAATTTTAACTTTCAAATGTTAGGGATAAACAAATAGCCCAATAATGACATTGCTGTTAAATATATATATATATATAAAAGATTATTATGTAAAAATGGTAATGTTAAATCTCAACTCTTAAATTAAAATATTATAAGTAAAATTATCATATATAACTATTATTGTTATTTTATTAATATTCTTATCATCATTATTATTTATTGTCATATTTATTATCATTGTCACTTTCACTATTGTTGTATTATTACTTTCATCACTAAACTACTACTATTATCTTGGTCGCTATCATCTCAAAATTTTGAAATTATGTTTGATAGTATAATTAACTAAGTGCACACAACTGCATTACTTTTTTTTATCATTTTTTTATTTATTTTATTACGTCTAGGTAAATTTTTATTTAAAAATTAAGTTAATATATTTAATTTTTCAATAAATATTACATATAAATATAATTAAAACATTATTTTCAGCCTATCAACCTACTAATAAACAGGGTAAGTCATAGCTTTTAGCCCACTTTCTCTATGTGGAACAGTGTGGTTTAGCTATTTTTACGAGTCAGTAATAATTACTAGCACAACCAAAGTTTTTCAATATATATAGATCCATTAACTGAGTTCACACTATGACCCGTGCGTTGAGACACTATGCTTGAAAGAGAACTATTTTATGCTTTCCAAGTTCTGGTTTAGATCGTTCTTAAACAAGGTAGAAATAAAGAAAACAACATTGTGTTCACTCGGTGCAACTTGTCATTTTCATTAATTTTAGTATAGTATATGTTAACCTTCGACAACAAAAAACTCAATCCTTCATTTTAGTATATATCCCTATTGTCATACACTAAAATCATGTCAAAACATTAATTTATTAATTGCACCTACTAGAGCAAAACCTTCTGAAGTAAAAAGGGAGGAGAGAAACATTAAATAAATCCTATAAAACTGAGTAACCGACACTGAATTTCTTTTCATGACTAAAGCTTTTACATGTTCTTTCTATGGACTTATTCCATTTCATATTGTAACAGATTAGTCAAAATATCAAAGAACTTGTGTTGTATGTGACATCAATCTATAAGTTGCACAGCCGCAATAGAAGGTATCTTGTCTCTCAGCTTCTGTGTTAAGGCAACACGAACTGTCATAACTCCAGCTGCAGGTCCACTTAGCCTAACTTTGACAACATAATCTTTGATCTCAACAAGCTCCAATATTCCTCCCCCAGTGCCAACAAGGTATGGTCTAATTTCAGAAAGAACCTGAAAAATGAACATTATAAGATTTAGAATCTAATACTGAAGCAACACCAAGTGCTCACTAGTAATATGAATCCTACAGCATATAGATACATACATGTCTACAAATAAGCCACCAGAAATATATGGCTTGGAAGATTCATTTTTAAGCATTGATATTCTATTCTAATTCTAGGATAAAGGGTATGTTTAGATAACTTTCTCCCGAAGCACTTCTAGAAAGAAAAAAAAAATGAAATAAACTTTTCTACAAGGTAAAACTAGTTTATACATAAATCAAAACAATTAGTTTTTGAACAAACTAATATGAAAGCAAGTTAAATTTAACTTTTGGAAAAAATTAGTTCTTTTTTCCTTCCAAGTTTTTTCTCTTATTCCGGAGAAATTTATACAAACAGACTCTTCATGTTTATACCACTATCCAAGTGATTAAAGAATGAGAGATGGTCTAGACATTTCATCATGATTTTGCATTATACACCAATCATTCCTTGTCAAGTTGATGAGAATGAATGTATATGGTACATGAAACTTGAAGAGAAAACATTTTAATCAGATCACTTAGCTTTCACACCTTAAAGTCTAAAAGGCCAATGAAACTATGGAAATGCTAGAAATGATGCATGAAGTTTTGCTTACATTTTCAACATTCTCTTCAGTTAACTCGAGACCGGTCTCAGTGTCCAGTATCTGCTCCACTTCCATGATTTCTGGAATCTTATCCCGGAGGCGAGTTTCAATTCCCATTTTCAATGTCATAGTTGAGCTAGGACATGATCCACATGCCCCTTGCAGCTTGAGAACAACAACAAGACCATCTATCTCATGTAATGCCACATTCCCTCCATCAGCCATCAAGCCAGGCCTCACCTCATCCAAAACCTTCTCCACATTCTCTTCTGTAAGTGGCAAGACACAGCTTGGGGAAACAACTCTTCCTGCAACATTGGAATGTGAGTGTCACAATAATCTCTATTCTCACATCCTTTCCAAGCTACTTTGATGCATAATTGTAAATAAGAAATCAAATAAATTACACAGATATCTCATGATGTTTCATAAAATTGCATACAACTTTTTTTAACGTTTACAATAACCTCCTTTACAGGACATCACAATATAATGTTTTTCAAACATTTAAGCATGATTAATCTAATGTCTTAGAGGTGACAGTGAGATGTTTTTTCAAACAATTAAAGGGAATAGTGTAGGAATAGAAAGTAGAAACAATAAGGTGTGTATGCAATCTCATGAAACTTCATATAGGTGTGTAATTTACTCTAAGAAATATTATTAATCTCATCTCATCATGAAGTTACTTTAATTGTTCACACTTTCAACCTCCATTTCTCTTTTCTCATTTGGCAAATTCAACTTACATTTCAATAATTCGCACTAACCAACTTCGGATTTGAAACATTATAAATTAGCTGGAAAACATTGATGATGTTGATGTAATACACTAGTTAGTACTCATTTTCATCCAAGAAAAGACCCATGTTAGTGCAACAATCACATATAACTAATTTCATGAATTCAAATTTCTAACTGATGAAGCCGTAGAAGAGTGCATCGAGACAGCAAGTAGAACCTGCTTTATTTGGTGGAGCAGGACCCGAGATAAGCCCAAAAAATTGCTTGATGTTGATCTGGTGACCTCTGATGAAGCAATTCTCTTTTGAGGAAAATCCTCTGGTATTTGATACTGGGTTCTAGAAAAAACAAAAATTTGAGTTTACACGTGCCCATTAGGCCATTACCAAACTAAAGAATCCTAGTACAACACAAGAACAACAACAACAACATAGGAAATAACTGAAACAACATAGTGGGAAAGTACCTTAAGAGACAATAATCTATGAGTTGGATAAAGCATTGCAATTGTTCTTGTGGGCTTGATACTTTGAGTTGTTGGGGTAGAAAGTGCACCACCCAACATCTGAATGTGAGTGGGAAACCCAGAAAACTACCATAAGAAATTAAATTAATTTGGTTTATATAAAATGTTGTCTTATTTCTAGTTTTCGGATGAAGTTCAGTTTTGACATTAGTAGCAGGGAGGGAGATGCAGATAGCTAGCATTTCTTGATTGGCTGACATTGATTCTTTGTGATGATAAAATAAAATAAAATAAAATAAAGTCACCTAAAGTTTGTGGACAGAACTGAAACAAGCCACAAAAGAAACACCGTGTGACAGTTAGATGGTGTTATAATAAATGGGCTTTGGGCCTAGCCATATTTAAATATAAGCCCAAGGAATGTACCTTTTGGGGTCAACCGACACAAATTGAAAGAGTTGTGTTTTATTGAATAGGACAAAACTAAGTATAGGATCTGTTTGGGAAGGACTGTTTTAGGCCCATAAAATAACCTTTGATACTCAGCTGAAAGCCTAATTATGTGCTCCCTCTCGTGTATGCTTTACATTTTACAAATGGTTTTGTTTGATAGGAAGTTTTTTTTTTTTTTTTTAATTTTTCAAGAATCATAACTTGGAAATATTTAGATTTGAGTTTTTTTTGGAAACATTATGAAAATTTAACATTAGTATTTTTTAACTAAGTTTTTCCCATAGGAGGGGGTTGAAATCCAATGTTCCTGTGAAGGTGGGAAAGTTTTAGTATTGTTCACCAAAATATTATCAAGAATGTTTTAAATAGAGGTGGTAAAGAAGCTCCAGATAATTCTGAAGTTGGATTATAATGTATCGGATATAAATAATTCATTAATTCATTTAGATTCACTATAAAATTATTTAAAAATTTAATTCATTTAAAGAAAAAAAATTCAATCCATCTACCAACAAATTTTTAACAAATGAATATTCAATCCATCTATGAAAATATATTTTAAAAATTATATAATTTAATTTATAAAAGTCTTTTAAAAATATATTATAAGTCATCATATTATTATATAATCTTTAAAAATCTAAAAATAACTTTTTTTTATGTCATAATAGTCTTTAAAATTTCAATTCAATACACTCCCTTATTGTAATCCAATGAATGTTAAAAAAAATAGTGGATGGATAACAATATCCATAAAAATAAATTGATAAATTAAATCTACTCCATCATTAATATATTTGTGTAAGAGAAGAATTGGATAGATTTATTTATGAATGAATTAGATAGATAATGGATAAATGAATTATTTTATCACCTCTACTTTTAAACATACCAAACTAATTTGAATCCAAAACACCCTCCAAAGGATTCTACACATCAAGCACCCTCCAAAGAAAATGATTAAAGAATAAAAAGTAAAAATATTTAAATATATATAACTTTTAATGTTAACAATTTATTTTATCGTAAGTTCTAATAAAAAAAAAAGTCTATTTATTAATTTCTTAAGTATTATTGGATTTTTATAAATAAATAAATAAATAATATAAATAAATAAATAAAATAAAATAAAAATATAAAAGAAAAAAACTGTTACAAATTGTCATTATGTACCAACATGTTGATAATAATGAAATTAGATTCAGGTTCCTTAAATAAAATATTTAATTCAAGTCTTTTGAAGATATTTGTCACTTATAATAATACCTGAAAACAATTGGCACCGTGTATCTGTTTAATGACAACTAACAAAAATCAAAAGCCACAATAGTGAAAAACCTTGTAGTATGATGAAGGAAACTGAAACTTTAAGCACAGTACAAAACAAACCAACAAAATAATGAGAATAAGGACAGTTTTAACAACAATCTCACATGAAGTAACTAATATCATATCTTCCTTAAGGATATGGAAGTTGGAAGAAAAAGTTAAAACCTACAAATGTGAAATACACGAAACCATAAATTTTGTTTATGTAGTTACATTTCTTTCTCTTAAAACGGTTTCTTATTTCTCCACTGATTAGTTACCAAAATCATTCCTAAAACTTCTTTTTACAAAAAGAAAGAAAGAGCTACAACGTGTGTAAAATAGTTTTATACAATTATCTAATCACAGACTAATTAATCTTCTCTGAATAATTTAAAAAAGTGTCATCTATCATTTATTCATAAATCAAGTATAATAGTATTGAATATGAGATGTAACGACCCGTCATGGTCTCTACACTTACTGGAATCGCACTACTACTAGTGAACTAAGGAAAATATTAAATTGGATAACTCTTACATACAGGTATAGATAAAAATAAAAATAACCAAATTCTTTAAATACAAAATAAAATGCCATATATGTACAGTCATCCCAAAAATAATATTCCCTAGTGCCGGTCAAACAGACTAAATGAATAAATCTAGTTTAATTCCTTTTAAAATCATCTAATAAAGTTTGAAATAAATATATTAATTATCCAAGCAAAACATTATATTTTATTTTTTAATTTCTTTATCAACTTGGTATATTTTTAAATTTCATCATTGTAGAGTATATTTGTGTAATAACCTTATAAAAAATAATACTCATAAATAACCAATAAAATAACCCTTAACAAATTTTAAATGAATAAATCTAGTTTAATTCCTTTTAAAATCATCTTTTTAAAAATATTTAAAATATTTCTTTTGTTTGATTGAAAAGAAAATAAAAGGAAAAAAAAAGAAGAAGAGAGGAATTGAGTTTAATGACATTCTTGCAACAATCTTTTTCTCCTACATTACTTCATGATTTATATGAATTATACATGAAATAAAAAAAAAACATTAATTAACCATTTAATTTTATTATGCATCATAATTTTAAAATAAAAGAATTAAAAAGAAAAATCAAAAATCAAAAACCCTAAACTAAAGAAAAAGAAGCTAGCAGGTATAAAAAGAAAATGGTGACAACATGCGATTAACATTAACCTCGAATATGTACGTATGACTTTCAATTTAAGAAGCAATTTCATTGACAAATTTACAATAGTGATGGATAAAGCAATTGCTTCTTTACCTTTACCACCCCAAAGTGAGAATCTGGTTCACATTCTTTTGAAATTGGCTAATAAAGTTTGGAATAAATATAGCAAAGAATTATATTTTACTCCTCATCCAAGTAAACTAATATATTTTAATTTCAATTTAGTTTTATAAATCGGATATTTTTAAAATTATTATTTCTTGTTTCATCAAAGACATGGCGCAACGTCATTCACTGACTATCTATTAAAATAACCCAACATTCTACTGTATTTAAATTTATAAACATATTAATTATCATATTAAACAATGAATATTACTGTCTATGTTAATAAACATAGTTGTCTTTTTATTACATACTTTTGATAAGGATTAGAATCTCCCATCAACAGATTAATAGCTTGTAGCGAATTAAAACACAAATAACTACTATATTTAAATATATAAATATATTATCATATTAAACAAAAATATTATGATTTTTGATTTTTTTTATAATTAAATTGTTGACACGAAATATCCAATTACTTTGTCTGTGACTAATTACTACCAAAAAAAAAACCTGACTGGACACCTTTAAAAAAAATCACCTCCCAACCATGCTTTTTATTAGTTAATATGTATTAGCTTAAGTTGTGGTTTTCTCATTTTAAAATTGCATGCAAATTTTGTTAGGATTAAAACAAGTCTCACATCGATAAAATAATATAAGAAATAACAATTTATATAACACAAAAATACTTCAATGATCAAGAGGCCTTTTGGGTAATGATCAAAAAGCAAAACCGTGAGGGCTTAAGCCCAAAGCGGACAATATTTCATCATTGTAGAGTATATTTGTGTAATAACCTTATAAAAAATAATACTCATAAATAACCAATAAAATGACCCTTAACAAATTTTAAATGAATAAATCTAGTTTAATTCCTTTTAAAATCATCTAATAAAGTTTGAAATAAATATATTAATTATCCAAGCAAAACATTATATTTTATTTTTTAATTTCTTTATCAACTTGGTATATTTTTAAATTTCATCATTGTAGAGTATATTTGTGTAATAACCTTATAAAAAATAATACTCATAAATAACCAATAAAATAACCCTTAACAAATTTTAAATGAATAAATCTGGTTTAATTTCTTTTAAAATCATCAAATAAAGTTTGAAATAAATATATTAATTATCCAAGCAAAACATTATATTTTATTTTTTAATTTCTTTATCAACTTGGTATATTTTTAAGGGAAATGTTATGGTACCCATGAAAATCGAAGGGTTTTAGTATATTAAATTATGTGAATAAATAAGAACGGCCCGTTCTGGGCTACTGAATCAACCTCTTCTTTTTTTTTTTTTTTTTTTAACAATGTTACATGAGAAGATATAATATAAAAAAAATCAAGTCTTATATCAATTAGAGATAAGAATAAAATAAAGTATAAGTAAAAAGTAATCATTACATTACACAAGTTGGTTTAATTAGTAGGTTGAGTTAAACTTAAATTTACATCCTAGGATGATATTATAGTTATTGTATATTCATTGGGGTCACCCACCATTAATATGTACATGCACCAAGGCTAATATTTTTGTTGTATTGGACATGAAGTGTATATTAAAAAAACCAAATCATGTCTATCCTAAATCATCTAAAAAAAATGATTATTCATTCTTTATCTATGCACAAGTTCAATAATGTTAGTCATGAGAAGGTATATTGAAAAAAATCAAGTATCACTTTTGTATAATAAGTTTATTGAGTTTTGTAATACCTATGAAATACTAAAACATCTATAGAACGTCGTGTCAGACGACACTATAAATACATATTTGTCAAATACGCTTGCACACATGTATGATACTTCTCCATTGTGTTGCAATGAAAATTTACTATTGTTTTAGTTTGAATACCTCTCTAACACAATTTGAACACAAGTTAAGAAAGTGAATTGACACATTCTCTTGCCTAAATACTTGTAAAAAAAATTAAAAGATAAACTTATATATAAATATTATAAGACTCTTAACATTTGTTTTCATCTTTTGTAATGCTCATTTTCATAAGAATTAATAATATTTTAACTTTTAAAATATATATATATATATATATATATTAGTCATATCTTAATATTTATGTTTGTATCATATCTGATATCTGTATCGGAATCAGTACTTCAGCTGATAAGTCATCCTAACAATAATTTTGAACTAGT